AGGGCCCCAGTAGTAGGGCAAGGGTTCGCAGCAGCAACAAGGTCCTCATAAGAAAGGACCACAGCATGATCAGAGGGCACTGTAGCAACGCAGATTCCAATATGTTTATTATAACTATCATAAGATCGGTCACAGAGCCGCAGAGTGCTGCAGTGCACCAGCAGGAGGCCAGCAGGGCAAGAATCAGGGTCAGCAGCAGAACCTTGGATATGGCCAAGGATAGGGCCAGCAGCTGAGACTTGAGGCACCGCCAGCAGTTCCGAGGATAGATGGACATGTGCGAGCTAATCAGGAGATACCATAGGGATAGATAGTTCCGTATACCCCAGATCCTTCAGTGCAGCAGATAGCAGCTTCAGGCAGGGTATATGCAGTCGTACCACGTGATCATGGTGCGAGCGGGACCGTGGTGGATGATACATTCCTTGTGAACTCCTCTCTAGCCCGTATTCTTTTTGATTCCGGAGCTTCACTTTCGTTCATCTCTTATGATTTCATGATTAGACTCCAGCTAATGGCACAATCTTTAGACATTCCCTTATCAGTTTCTACCTCTCTAGGTGATGTGTCGCTTCTAGAGAGCATCTGTAGGAGATGTGTCATCAGCTTAGACGAGTCTGAGTTTGTAGTTAATTTGATCATCTTGCGCATATCCGAGTTCGATGTGATTCTTGGTATAGATTGGCTATCTTCCTACCATGTTAGTATCGATTGGTTTGCAAAAATAGTCAGTTTGCGAGCATCCGATGGGACTAAGTTGGTTATAGAGACCTCACAGGGCAACCAATTTGCGGAGTTATTTCTGACGTACATAGGGGAGGTGATGTTGTGGGATCAGGGTGCCTATTTGAGCGAGACTAGAGTAGTGTCAGTGTATCAGGAAGTCTTTCAGGACATACCTGGATTGCCTCCGATGAGAGAGGTTGAGTTCTACATCGAGTTGTAACTAGGCACAACACCGATATCCTAAGCACCTTATCGTATGGCACCTGCTGAGATGAGGAAGCTACAGATTCAGTTGGAGGAGCTCATTTCTCAGGGTTTTATTCACTGGAGTCATTTTCCATGGGGAGCACCAGTCCTTTTCGTGAAGAAGAAGGACGACAATCTTCATTTGTGCATAGATTATCTTGAGTTGGATAAGGTCGCCATCTGGAATAGGTATCTGCTACTGAGAATTGATGACTTATTCGACCAGTTATAGTAAGCGTAATGTTTCTTAAAGATTCTTCGATCTGGCTATCATCAATTGCATGTACAGGATATGGATATTCCCAAGACTATCTTTTTGACTTGATAGGTCTTTTGAGTTTCTTGTTATGCCATTTGGGCTGGCCAATGCACCCGTAGTATTTATAGACTTGATGAATCGGGTTTTCCATCCATAGTTGGACCAGTTCGTGATCGTCTTCATTGACAAAATCCTCATCTACTCGAAGTTAGAGGCTGAGCACGAACAACATCTTCGTCTGACATTACAGACTTTGTGGGAGCACCAGTTGTATGCTAAGTTTAGTAAATGCGAGTTTTGGCAATCAGAAGTCATATTCTCCACCAACATTTCTCTCATCTCCATCACCATCAACCTCCACATCTCCACCAATATCCTCATCTACATCTCCACCATCCCCTCATCTCCGACTCTACCATCATTTTCACCTTCGCCTACATCTTTATCATCCTCCTCATTCCCGTCATCCTCATCTCCGCCATCACTATCAACATCCACTTGATTTCCACCAAATATTTCCCTCTTCATCTTCAAGAGAATGTCTAATTCTACTTTTTTTCATGCATGAGCCTGTCCAAATCCAATTCAGTGATTACCTACATGTAGATACCCAAGTCTAGTTAAATTCATGGATAAACATCAAATATAAATTATTTTCCAAAAGCTACCCAAGGAACTTGTTTAAATCAACCATTATACCTTTTCCTTGAATTATGTAGCAGCAGCTTCTGTAGTGGCAGCTTTAGTAACCCTCTCTTGAAATTTTAGAGCCCTCGAGTTATTATCACACTTCCTAAATTTAGCTAGGTCTCTAACTAAATCGTGCATTGTATTCTTTCATAAAGTTTTCAGACACTTATATAAGCTTAGGATGGGTGGTAGGGATTCAACTCCTATGCGAATGCTCAACTTTCCCACAAGCTCATAAAACTAAATTTGCAAAAATATGAAAAATTTAATGTAACAATAAATATGACTAAATAACATAAATATATAAAATGGAAAATAACATAAATATATAAAAAGTTAACTTACCACTAAAACCGCCCATATAACCACCTCTAGATTGATTACCCTTGGACCTCTTAGTGATGGTCTTCTTAGACTTATTTATCTCAGTCCGCAACACATTATATACTACTTAAGCCCAATTTTACTCATTAAGATTGTCCAATTTCTTAGCATATCTAAATGCAAACAAAGGATAACCCAATTACTTTGAGGGCATAAAATAAATCCTATAATGAAAGTCAAAAGAATCTGTGGCAAAATAGGATCTCTACGCTCGGCCATCTCCTCGATAAGTTCATGCATCCAATCTTGTCTAGCACACACAACCTTCTTATTTCCCTCATCAATTTTTTCTTTCCTCTTCTAGTCCCACGCTTCGTATCCTCCTCAATTTCGGCCTTTGTCTTAAATGAAAGCACGAGTTTGTAGATTGTCTCACGATCACTTATATGAAACCTCATATCTATTATAGATCCTCCCATCGGAAGACCCGTAATCCTCTCGACATCTTCAACACCAAAGGAGGTCCATTTTCCTCCAATTTTGAAGCTACTTTTTTCAACATCAAATACTTCCAACAAATAATCGACTAGAAGTGGCTGCATTGGAACATCAGGAACATCCAGATATCCATAGAATGGCGTATCTCGAAGGGTCGTCTGATGATCCTCCGACAATTATGACTTTGAATTAGGTCCCAGAAGCAGACCACATTAGATGGAATTCTGGCTACTTCCATAGCCATAGGTTTACTGCTAACAAGTAAAACATAAGTCAACTTTAGTATTATATCAATGCTATACTTTTTTTTACTAAACGAGCTACCATTAAGATAAATATTAAGATCAAACACATGCACGTGTAGGAGGGAGGAATGGTCAGCATTACAGTGTAGGCAAGCGTGGAGGATAATAGGATATCCTACTTTAAACTTTCAACTCAGACTTGCAAGAAAGACCATGAATGAAGATACGGTCCTATTATTTTAACAATCCTACTACGAAGCATTTCAAATACAAGATTTGTGATCTCAAAGAACATGTTAGATACTTCTCAAATGAATTTGGAACTCTTTAATATAGTTTAACATGGATGATGTCTCACACAAATTTGTATAAAGTGAGGTTAATGAAAGAGTCTTGTAATGCTTTCTTTAACAATGCGTCCTTAAATTAGATCATATTTCCTATCTATATTGCATACTGAACATGGTTTACTGCAAAAAAAAAGTCTTAATGTTCATTGGACATTTCTACAGCTTGAACTCATTCATTGACAACTACTCAATTAGCCCAATCTCACAAATTTTCCATCTCCTAGTTTTACAGTATATTCCCCTAAATGGTACCAATACCTATAGTACTTGTTTTGAACCCAATTCTCAAACACTTGCAAAACTGTCCAACCAACAACTACATTGTGAAGTTAAATATAGAGTTCCAACAACTGTGAGAAGAAATGTAATAGTACATACTTTTACGCAAATTTTAAATACACCCTCAAATTTCAAATACTTCTACTCAAAAATTTTAAATTATTGAATCTAAGTGATGATTTACACATGGAAAGGGCCTCTTCATGCTATATTAATCCACTGAGAGCATCCCGTTCAAAATAAGAAAATTATTGAATGCATGTAATACACCAAGATTCCAAATCCAGAATAAAAAAAGTTATGAGGAATTGAACCAAACTACAAAAACCACCAAACTTTTAAAGGGCAACGTGTAAATTAACACATTTATTACCTCTACTGTCAGAAGAGACACTAGAGAAGGTGATAGTTGATAGTCAGGAGAGGCATCAGAGGGGGTGGCTGGAGGCAGGCGAAGCGCTGAAGGAGGCGGCGGAGACTGTAAGGCGAAGAACTGCTGGAGGAGGTGCTGACGGTCAGGCGAAGAACTACTGGACGGAGGAGGTAGCGGAAAAACAAGCGTCAGACCTATTGGGGCTAGATCGGGGGAAGATTCTGGGTTAGGGATCTAACTGGGGGGAAAATTCGACCATAATGGGGATTTTCCCCTCGGTTAGGGCTTAGAGACGAGATGAAGACGAAGAGAGAGAAGAGGGATTGCTGAGAGATGAGAACGGGGAAGAAACAGAAGGGATTTTATTTTCTCGGTTAGGGCTAATAGACAAGACGGAGAAGAAGAGGAGGGATTACTTTTTTGGTTTAGGGTTTTTCGCTTAGGGCTGAGACATGAGAACGAGGAAGCAGAGGAGAGAGAAGTGCATGTTTAAGTGAGGTACTGAAAGGGGTATTTTGGGATTTATACCATGTTTATGCATAAATATAAGATACTCTACCTATTGTATTTTAGAAGTTGGGTTTAAAGGCAAATACAAAAAAATGATTGGATTTAAAGATATAAGCAAAAGTTATTAGGTTCATAAGTAAACTAGAGTAAACAAATGAGCCTAGAAATAAAAACCCCTAATTTCAAATATAAAGTTGAGCCCTTCAAATCACAACTTTCCACTTCTGCTCTCTAACAATCTCAATATTACATCTAAGCTCGCCAAAACTTTCACAGATAAGCCCTCAAAAAATTCTCTCTTACCTCGAACTGCATAAAGACAACATAACCAAAAGCGGGGCGACACCTCCACACTTTTTCTCGCACCCCGCCAGATTTAGTAACGGAAAAATCAAAAAACAAAAAAGGGCAAAAAAAAAAAAAAACCCCACTGCCTATGAACAACGTCCACGTGGCCCCCTACATACATACATAAGGGACTAGAATCAGCCGTCGCCGTCGTCAAGCTCGTCTGCCGGAGCGCGGGTGCCCTCCGCGGGCTCTGCGCTTACAAGCTTGGGGGTAGTGGGTTCTCATACGCAGTCTCATCGTATGATTCCTTCACCATTTTCGTAATTTCGGTTAATATTAATTCCTTGTTACTTGAGAAATTTGAGATGTGGGCTCTTCATACCTCTGCTAGACTTTTCGTTTTGTTTCATGGATTTACTCTGTTTTCCATTTGAATATTTTAGAAATTTTAAGCATGGGGTTTGCATATTTGTTTAGAGTTTGTAGATTGATTGGTGGCATTTTGATTTTGGAGATTAGTGTTCTAGATTATTGTTTTAACCCTTTTTCCATGTGTTTGTTCTATTTTCTTTTAAATATTTAAAAATTCGGAGATGGGGGTTCTGTATATTTTCTGGAGATTGTACCTGGGTTTCTAGCATTTCGATTTTGGGGGGTTCGTTTTCTTTCTTCATTTTTAACCCCCTGAAATCGAATGTCTCTTGAATGGATAGAATTAATTGTATTTTCCATTTTATTTAAAAAGTTTTTAATACTGAATGCCCCGATCATAGGTTTACTGTAAATGGGTTTCTAGTATTTTAAGTTTGGGGGTTCCCTTTCTTTCTTCATTTATTTCCGAAAATCGAATGTCTCTTGGATAAAAAGAACTATTTCTATTTTCCATCTTTACAAAGGTTTTAATATTCTGAATACCCTGATCATAAGTTTATGGCTTCTCTGTTCTTTCTACTGAATGTGTATTGATTTTTCCTTCCTTTTTTTTCTTTTTTCTTTTCTTTATTAATTTATTATGATTTTTTCCCCAATATTTTTCGGTTTTGATATATGGGTTCTCTGTATTTCTTTGAGTTTCCAAATGGGTTTCTAACGTTCTGATTTTGCAAGGGTTTCTTCATTATAAATGACGTCCCTTGGTTAAATAGCCTGGGCTATGGGCATGTTGGTCATCTTTTTATGACCAAATTTATTTATTTATTTTCACTTTGTTGATTTGTAATGGGTACATAATCTATAGATACAATATTTGGATCATATTAAGATCTGGGTTCTGTATGATCTGTTGTTGAGTTAGTACATGATTTTCTACCATTTTGATTTTTGGAGATTCTTAATATTTTTTTTTTCTAAATTTCAGTAGAGTGTCTTTCGTAACTTTTAATTTCACAATAAAGTACAAAATGTATTGTTTCGAATTTTAATTTACTATTAAAAGGTTTATGTAAATTATGGGATTCTATGTTCATATCCCGAAAACACTCTGATAGACCAACACTGAATGTTCTGTTTTTTGTTCATATATGTAGTATTTATTTTATGTCACTGCTTCCATTTTTAGCTTAATTATGTTACTGTCTTGGTGTCTATTGAACATACTGCCTAGTTTATTTAAGATTTCTAGTTTGATAGAACACTCTGGTTCTTGTTGTCATGGAATCAGCCTTTTTATTATTGATAATTATGTGTTTGTTGATACTAAAAAATAAAAGTAAGTAATTATGTGTTTATTTGGCACTGTACGCTTACAGAAATCATCTAAATTGTCAGCTTGATTTTTCTAGCGTAAATATCAGAAAAACCCACTTAAACGATTATTGGAAAAAACCCCCTAACTTTCAAAATATCAGAAAACCCCCCTTAAGTAGAGGGATTATCACAGACAACGCCCCCCCACCCCAACTCTTCTTAACTGCCAAATTTTAGTAGAAAACCCTCTTTAACTTTGAGATTTTATCGGAAACCCCATTTTGAAATTTAAGGGAAGTTCTTTTTATAATCATCCAAAGTTAGGTTTTTTTTTTATATTTAGCAATTTTTCTATTAGCTTCTAATTTCCTTTTCTAGTTCTGTCTATATTACTTTTTATGTTACACTGTTCATGTGTTAATGGGATGTATTTGTGATGTTCTATATTGAATAGGGTTAACACAGACTAAGAAAAGTAGTATCTGCAGCTGATGACTTGTAACATGAATTTGAACTCCACGGTGTTTTACGACTTTCAATTATAGATTGTTTTCATTTTCCATGTTCATTTTGGCTTTTACGCTCTGTTATAAAAGTAACCTGAATCATCTTTTGTGGGTTCTTTCAAAAAATTATCATGGTTAAACTGCACAGTCTAGTATAAAAAGTTCAATATCAGACAATAAAACAAGTTCGAATTTTTTACAAGGCTAAAAATCTTGTCTTCACATGTTTTATTCATATAGTTTCATGGTAATACACTATTTTTTCAACTTGTGTTACACCTTTCCCTATTTAATTTTCAGCAGTCTACATGTAGTACTCTTTCATTGTCTACTGAAACCTGTAACTTTTCTTTTGTCTATTTAATTTACAATACCCTGCATTGGTCTTTCATTGAGTACTGACATTTTTTTGGCAGAGGAAACCTCCTAAACTCACTGAAGATGCCAATGAGCAAAGTAACAGATAACACAGTGCAGAAACATGTAGGCTTCCTGCAGTCATTAACAGTGCTAGACATCAGCTACTGCCTCTCCATCACACACATATCCATCAAACTAATTGGGTCAAACTGCAAATCTCTTGTCGAGTTCAAGCGAAACATGCCACCCCCTCAGCCTGACATAACCCATCCCAACAATGGTTCAGGCTCAAATGTTGATGAGTCAGAGGCAATTGCAGTAGCTGACACGATGCATTGTCTCGAAACCCTGGAGCTCGCTTATGGTCTCTTCTCTGATCTAGGACTTGATGCTATATTGACAAAGTGTTTGAAGTTGCATAACCTTGATATTCGGGGGTGTTGGAATGTGAAGCTTGAGGGGGATGTTGATGGTAAGTGTGGGTTGATACCAGGGTTTAAAGATCCATGGTATGATCAGTTCGATTATGAGGATGATGATGATTCTGGCAATGATGAACCAAATTCTGACGAAGATCATGGCGCTGGTGATGATGGTGGTGGACAAGGTGGTGGTGGACACGGGGATGTAATAGATGGTGGTGGTGGACAAGCTATTGACGGACACAGGGATGCGACAGATGGTGGTGGTGGTGGTGATGGTGTTGATAGACATGGGGATGTGGTGGTTATATCAGATGATGATGATGATGGTCATGAGGATGATTGGGAAGTTGATTCTGATGATTCATGGTGGGGTTGGATGACATTGGTTTGATGCCTTGAGTAGTGTTTTTGAAGAGCTTATATTGTTTTCGTTAGGTTTTCTGGTGACCCACAATTACACAAAGAAGTTTTTTGAATAGCTTATATGTTTTTGTTTTTGCCTGAAAGCTCTTGCTGATGAACTACCGCTGTTGTTAATTTGTGGTACAATGTATCACATAAATACATTGTGCTTAAGTTGAAAATTTTGGAAATTTTGCTTATTTCTTTTCTACCAGATGTTCACGTCTCTTAATTTTTTGCTTATTTCATTCTCTCAGTGTTTTTTTGGGGTTTGAGATAGACATAATTGATCAGAATTGATGAGTGAATATGTGACCAAGTGTTATTTATGATACCAAGCGAAGGGGTTGCCTTATTTGGTTGTAAAAATTGCTAGATTAGTATAGATTTTGATAAAGACAACATTGCAGTATGCAAAACATTCAAGAATATATCTCCAAGTATACGAGGCCATTTCAATCTTACATGAATAATTAGTAGTTCTCTGCTGGTAAAGGTGGGGTTGACACCTTTAAAATTATTAGTTGATGTTAAAATAACCCCAATAAAGGGTTTTTTTGTCTTTAGGCCCAATGCTTTACCTTGATTTATTTATAAACCCAACTAGTTTCAAATGTATTCATAAACCCATAGAACTATGTGTATTTACCTCTCAACCCAAAAAGCATTAATACATCCAATATATATACAATATACACACAAAAAAATTATAAACCCTAAACTACCCCCTGCCTTACTCCTCTCTCCCCTTTATTAAAACCCTAGCAGTACAAACTCCATTCTCATCTCCGCCTGTAGATCCCCCCCCCTCAAAACGATCAAATCCTTTGCCATGTCGAGCTCCGACGCCGATCGCAGAGACGAGGAAGAATCCCACTGCGCCGCCGCCAATGAGGAAGAGGACACTGGAGCTCAGATCGCCCTGATCATCAAGCTCGAGGAGGTCGCCGTCACCACCGGTAGGAGCATGTTGGGAATGATAAGTCTTGTGTTTGGCACGTGCCTGATTTCTCTGATGGGGAGTTGAAGGAGAAGATGTTCTGCATTCGATTTGGATGAAATGCCCGTTATGTGTTTGATGAAATGCCCACTTGGGATTATTTGTTGGCTTGCTTAATAGTTGACTAACTTTGTTTGGTTTCATGCCTACTATGTGTTTGATGAAATGCTCAAAAACTAGGTGTTTTTTGGTTTCTTTGTTGATTAGCTTGATTTAGTTTCATGCTTGTTCCTTGTTCGGTGAAATGCCCATTTAGGTTTTTTTTGGTTTGTTTGCTTGCTTGATTAGCTTGAAAGATTGGAATTTCTAGGGTTTTTGAAAGGGTTTGATTAGCTTGAAAGATTGGAATTTCTAGGGTTTTTGAAAGGGTTTTCTGAATTTCTAGGGTTTTTGAAAGATTGGAATTTGATTTTGCAAATTTCTAGGGTTTTTGAAAGGGTTTTCTGAATTTCTAGGGTTTTTGAAAGATTGGAATTTGATTTTGCAAATTTGGCTTTTTGCAGTCTATACATTTGTTGGTTAATTATTTAGCTGTATGACAATTATGTTTTGATCCTCCCAATTTGATTTGTTGACATTCTATGGCGCAAATGGAGTAATTTGCTTCGAGCTAATAGTTCCAAGTTTGTTCATTCTACTGCTATCTCATTCGCTGTATTCTCTTATTATGGTAATGACCATTGTATTGTTATGGCCCTCAGAACAGAGGCTTCGCCTTTAATTGCAGCGTACTCTCCTACAAAGTGTACTATTATGATGCATTTATGTTGTTTCATAATGTTGCATTTCTTCAATTTTATACATTGTATATTACCTCTTATATTCAGTCTATTGTTCTTTCGATCCACTTATATTTTGATTTCAGGGTATCAACGTGATCCTCAAGACCAATTCCCCGGATGCTATATGCCAAATGTGATATCCAATATTTTTTGTGTGTATAAATATATGTTTGGAAATTGATTTGTAAAGTATTTGTATAAATATATGTTTGTCAGTATGAAACCTATGGGACTGCTGTTAGAATTGGTTATGTAAAGTTCCGCCATAATTCTGGGACGTTGTATATAGTTTGTCGATTGCATTCTTCGGTTAAATTACTGGTGTTTTGTGGCTTCTGTGGTAGATTTGATGATAGATAGATTCTAGTCTATTTTCTTCACATTACGAGCATTTTTTTGGTTGATGACAAGCTGAGGAGTTAAACAGGATGTTTGCCAAGACTTGGTTATCCTGTAAGTGTCGAGTTATCTTGTAAGTGTAGCGGGTTACACTGCAAGTGTAGCGGGTTACACTGCAAGTGTAGCGGGTTACACTGCAAGTGTAGCGGGTTACACTGCAAGTACAGCGGGTTATCATATAAGTGTAGCGGGTTATCATGTAAGTGTAGCGGGTTACACTGTAAGTGTAGTGGGTTATAAGTAAGTGTAGCGGGTTATCCTGTAAGTGTAGCGGGTTACACTGTAAGTATAGCGGGTTATCCTGTAAGTGTAGCGGTTTACATTATAAGTGTAGCGGGTTATCCTGTAAGTGTAGCGGGTTGCACTGTAAATGTAGCGGGTTACACTGTAAGTGTAGCGGGTTACACTACAAGTGTAGCGGGTTACACTACAAGTGTAGCGGGTTACACTACAAGTGTAGTGGGTTACACTGTAAGTATAGCGGGTTATCTTGTAAGTGTAGAGGGTTACACTGTAAGTGTAGCGGGTTACACTGTAAGTGTAGCGGGTTATCATGTAAGTGTAGCGGGTTACACTGCAAGTGTAGCGGGTTACACTGCAAGTGTAGCGGGTTATCATGTAAGTGTAGCGGGTTACACTGTAAGTGTAGGGGATTACACTGTAAGTGTAGCGGGTTACACTTTAAGTATAGCGGGTTATACTGTAAGTGTAGCAGGTTACACTGTAAGTGTAGCGGGTTATCATGTAAGTATAGCGGGTTATCATGTAAGTATAGCGGTTACACTGTAAGTGTAGCAGATTATCCTGTAAGTGTAACGGGTTACACTGTAAGTATAGCATATTATCCTTTAAGTGTAGCGGGTTATCCTGTAAGTGTAGCGGATTATCTTGTAAGTGTAGCGGGTTATCTTGTAAGTGTAGCGGGTTATGTATGAATGTTCTTTTCTTCCTTTTGTTGTGTTATGATTATGTGTATCATGCTGATCTTTGTAAGAGAATATTGTGTTCTATTTGAGGGAAAACTTTATGTAGCTGGTGCGCTGAACCATAGAACTTTACATGCAATAAACTATCAATTTCAATGACTTAGAAGCATACAAAACTTTACATAACCAGTAATTTAACCACAGTGGCTGATTGCACAAAATGACTTTACATAACCAATCCCAACAACAGTCTCATAGATTTCATACAAATGACTTTACAAATCACTTTCCAAACATATATATGTACACAAAAAAATGATTGATATCACCATTGGCATCTAGCATCCGGAGAATTTGTCTTGAGGATCACGTTGATTTCATGAAAGCAAAATATTAAGCGGATCAAAAGAACAATATGTTGAGTTTAAAAGCGATTCGATGAACATTACATTTATAGAAAATATACCTTCAGATAGAAATAAAGCAATAATACGAGCTCTATGTCTTGCACAATCCTTTTGGTCAATTGAAATAGTTTGACCAGAAACGAGGCTAAACATGTATGCCATCAAGAACACCCCTCAATCCAAGCTACTGTAATTTCAAATGTTTGCAATATCAATATAACACTCTTGGCCCACAATATATGGTCTCTATGCATTAGCACATATGAAAAAACAACATATGAATAAGTCAAATACACTAACCCACGTTGTTGAGGTACATCAACACTTTCTACCTCCTGACAAGAAGTAATGTCTAAATTCCAAGCATCGGGAATGCTAGAAATAAGCTTCACTCTAAATTCACTAGCATCAGACATATGGAACTGTATCATAGTCTCTTTATGTGACGCCCCTGGGTTCACACAAGGCTGCAGTCCGAGGTGAAACCAGAAATATCAAACCTGCCATGCCCTGGGTTCACACAAGGCTGCAGTCCGAGGTGAAACCAGAAATATCAAACCTGCCATGCACCACACTGTGCAATAACATGTTTCACCATCATAATTTCTATCTCTCTAGTGGAATCAACAACAGGTGTAGTACAAAGCAAGTAAAAAGGTTATACAAGAATCAACTGATAAAATAATAGAGATCAAATTAATATTTCACCATCTAATATGTTGGAGTACAAATAAATGTCTGAAATAAATAAACTGGAGTTTCTCATCAAGTCTCAAATACAAAATGTCTGACAAGAGAAAATAAAAAGAAAATATAACTAAAATAGATGGCTGAAGCTAAAGTGCATCGTCGTCAACCTGCGACTCTCTGGGCTCCTGGCTCGTTACCTGAAAGGGGGAGGGACAACGAGCATCAAAGCGCTAGCGAGCAACATCACAACCAACCCCAAGGGATAGGACTCGTTGTATAAAAATACAGTTAATACATAATAATATAAATCATTTACACAAACATTTATGGGTTTTAGTACTTAGGGAAATACAACACGGGCATAGGTACGTCGAGCGAAATAATCCAAACAAGGAAACCCTCATGTATATACCTTGTATCTCAAATTGTAGATCCCTAAATATTAAACCCGAGGTTGGTCATAAGAAAATAAATAAAGAAAAGAATACATACTCATCTCTACCAATAAAGTGTAAACATGACAAAACTACAATAGGTGTCATGCACAACCTGGGTAGCTATCATGTCCCAGCCTAATACAATATATCATGTACCCAACTTGATTACGTAACATGCTCAAGGTTTAGCAAAAGTCTAAAACATGATTAAAAATGAATTATAGTCCAACACGAGGACTTTAATGGATTATAGTCCAACACGAGGACTTTAATGGATTATAGTCCAACACGAGGACTTTAATGGATTATAGTCCAACACGAGGACTTTAATGGATTATAGTCCAACACGAGGACTTTAATGGATTATAGTCCAACACGAGGACTTTAATGGATTATAGTCCAACACGAGGACTTTAATGGATTATAGTCCAACACGAGGACTTTAATGGATTATAGTCCAACACGAGGACTGCGTATAA